CTATTAGGTTCTAGTCCTGAAAGGTTACGAACAGGGTTTTCACCTCCATGAATTTCTGATGGGACAGACAGAAGTCATGAGAGATGCTAGGGCATCCTTGGTTGTGTAGGGGTATCCCAGACATTACACGATGGTTAATATCTCTGGCCTCTACCCACTAAATTCCAGTCGAATCCCCCAGTCAGTGTGATAAGCAATTCCTCCCCTCCCCCCAACTTTCAAAACAACCTCTGAAGGGCAGTTTTCCTCCCACTGAGAGTTATGATTTTTTTAATAAAGATTTTATTTACTTATTTGAGAGAGAGAGAGCCCAAGCAGAGGAGGGGCAGAGGGACAAGCAGACTCTCCACTGAGTGCAGAGCCTGATTCAGAGCTCGATCCCAGGACCCCGAGATCAGGACCTGAGCCAAAGGCAGACGCTTAACTGACTGAGTCACCCAGGCGCCCCTCCATTGACTTTCTAATCTTCTAATCCAGCTGTCATTTTTCAGTCTTTAGAGCCTTTGAGCAGCCCTCCTTGATTTCCTTCCCTCGCCTGGCTCCCATGACATTGCTCTCCTTGGCCTTTCCTCCTCTCCTTTGCCTTATCCGTCTCCAGTGTCCTGGTCTGGTTTCTCCTTCTCCACCTGCCCATCCATGTAGATCTGACCTCGATCCCTTCTTTTTTCCTCTCCAAAGTATTTCTTTGATGAAACTTCAGCACCACTTCAAGGCCACAAATTCCCAAGATTGCTGTTTCTACACTATTTAAGTCTATTTTTCCAGCTGCCACCTGGACCTCCCTAAGTGAGCCCTAAGTTAAACAAAATCCAACTGGTCAGCTTTCTCAAAAACCTGATATTCCTTTGGTCGTGTTAATGGCAACATCATCCCCTCATTCAGCCTAAACATGGCAGCCATCTTGACCACTCTCACTCCTCACGTCCAGTTGATCACTGTGTTCTGTCAATTTAAGGAATATTGGAGTCGAATATTCAGGAGCAAGTCATGCAAAGATGGGAGTGGTGGTGATGAAGATCGGTGCCCTGGAAAGGGCCACTCTGATCTCACCCTTCTGATCTTTTGTTTTATTTAAAAAAGTTCTTTGGACTAGCCTAATTTTCCTAGACCCTGGGCATACTGCCCTGAGCTAATTTGTTTGCCCGAATTAATTACTAGCAGGGGGTGGCAGCCTCATTTTCACAGAAGCCTTCTCTTTTGGAAGGAATGCCTTTTTATTCAAACAGTCCAATTTAGGTTCTTTGGCACCCAGTGTAAGGATTGCCTTGACATTTCCATAAAGATGTTGAAATGTTACCATCCCTGAAGAAACAGTTTCAGAATATGAAACCTTTATCTTTTTCTTTTCCCCCAAGGAAGAAAAACATCACCAGCTTAATTATCTCTGTAAAATAACTTCCTCATTTGCTTTTCATGTTACTAGTGGAAGAAGAGAATGATACAGTTTGTAAAGAATGAAAACAATTACAAATGATTTCATGAAACTTGCTTTTGATTTTTGTCCGTGTAAATAACACCCCAATTACGAGGTCAAAGATGCTTGTAGGGTTATCTGTTGTTCTTCCAACTGATTTTTAAAAGATCTGTTAGGAGAGCAAATAGAATTGGAAAGATGCTCCTTGCGATTGTTGCTCCACACTGAGAAGCCGAAAGACAATGAACTCGTTATGTAGGTAATATATGAAAAAAAATTTTTAATTGTGAGAAAAATCACATAACATGAAATCTACCCTATTAACAAATTTTTAAGGGTACAGTACAGTTTTATTAATGATATGCACATTGTCATACAGCAGATCTCTAGAACATTTTCATTTTGCAAAACTGGAACTCTATATCCATTGACAACAACTCCCCATTTTCCCCTCCCCCGCCCAGCCCCTGACAACCACCATTCTACTCTGCTTCTGTGAGTTTCACTACTTCAGATGCCTCATATAACTGGAATCATGAAATATTTGTCCTTCTGTGACTGGCTTATTTCACTTAGATTATAGTCTCAAGGTTCATCCATGTTATAGCATATGACAAGATTTCTTTCCTTTTTTAAGGGCTGAATAATATTCCATCGTATGTATAAACTGCATTTTCTTTATCCATTCATCGTTGATTGACATTTTGGTTGATTCTACCTCTTGGCTATTGTGAATAATGCTGCAATGAATATGGGAATGCAAATATCTCTTTGAGATCCTGTTTTCCATTATTTTGGATAAATCCTACAAATGGGATTATAATTCATATGATAGTTCTATTTTTAATTTTGGGGGGATTCTCTGTATTGTATTCCATAGCGGTTGCACCATTTCACATTTCCACCAGCAGTGTACAAGGGTTCCAATTTCTCCATATCCTTGCCAACACTTACTGTTTTCTGTGTGTGTGTGTGTGTAGGTGTGTGTGTGTGTGTGTGTGTGTAGGTGTGTGTTTATAATGTCTGTTCTAACAGGTGTGATGTGATATCTCATTGTGGTTTTGATTTGCATTTCCCTGCTGATTGGTGGTGTTGAGCATCTTCTTGCGTACCTCTTGGCTATTTGTATTCTCTTACACCTTCCACAAAAAGCAACTCAAAATGGATTAAAGACTTAAATGTTAGACCTGAAACTGTAACACTCCTAGAAGAAAACGTAGGGGAAAACCTTCATAATATTGATCTTGGCAGTGATTTCTTGGGTATGATAACAAAAGCACAGACAATAAAAGCAAAAATAGACAAGTGGGGCTAAAACTAAAAAACAACACAGCAGAGGAAGCAATAAATTGCTTAATAAAAGCCAACTCTGGAATGGCAGAAAATGCTTGCAAGCCATCTATTCGATAAAGAGTTAATGCCCAAAACTCATAAAAAGAAAGGTTTTCTGGGGCGCCTGGGTGGCTCAGTTGGTTAAGCGACTGCCTTCGGCTCAGGTCATGATCCTGGAGTCCCGGGATCGAGTCCCGCATCGGACTCCCTGCTCAGCGGGGAGTCTGCTTCTCCCTCTGATCCTCTCCCTCTCATGCTCTCTGTCTCTCATTCTCTCTCTCTCAAATAAATAAATAAAATCTTTAAAAAAAAAAAGAAAGGTTTTCTGTTGAACCCAGATCAGGAGTCAGCAAACTTGTTCTCTAAGAGGCCAGCTAGTAAGGATTTTGGGCTTCGCAGGCCCTATGGTCTCTGTTGCAACTACTCAGGCTGCCGTTGTAGTGGGAACACAGCCATAGACAATACATGAATGGATGAGTGTGACTGTGTCTCAATAAAACTTGATTTACAAAACCAGACTGGGATGGATTTGGCCTGTGAGCCAGAGTTTGCTGATCCTTAATCTAGAGCAGGGTTCTCCATCTGACTCTGTTAGCATTTTAGCTGGATCTTTTTTTTGGGGGGGGGGAAGCGGTCATGGAGGGCTGTCCCGTGCCTCCCAGGATGTTTAGTAGCATCCTGATGCTAGATACCAGTGGCAGGCTCCTTCCCCTCCACCCTAGTTGTGACAACCAAAAGTGTCTCCAAACATTGCCAAATTCTGGGGGCAAAATTGCTGTCAGTTGAGAAACTCTGATCTAGATGATCAAAATACTGATGAAGGGAAATAGAAAATATTTCCCTAAAATTATAAAAAGTAGGGTAAGATGGAAGAATTGAAAACCATGGCCTGTTTGTCTCAGGTAGGTCAAGGTCTCCTCAGAGGGGCTATTATCACTGCCTCATTTTGGAAGGCAGTTCAGAAACAACTGAAATGGCAACAAACTTGAAAAAAGTACTCCGTTAATACTGCAGATAGGAGCTTAACCTACTTTTGCGATAGGCACGAGAAACAAAACAGTTCAACACATTAGCATGTCCTAATGGAACTTTCTGAGTTTGAGGGTTGGCTATGAGTTGGAAAGCTGGGGGAAAAAAAACAAACAAACTAGTAGTTCTAGTTCTCATTTGAGCAAGGGTTTATTTTTTCTGCTTATCTGAATTCAGAACCAACACAGGCAGGGTGATTTTTGAAAGCACTCACGTGTTTCTCATTGTTTGGACAGGGCCAGAAAAAAAAAATGGCTCGGTTTCACTGCAAATTGGCACTGACGCATGTTTTTGAAAGTTAAAAACAGTATAACATTCATGAGTGAATCTCAAAGAATGTTGTCTTCTTGTCCTTTAGAATAAACACCTGTGTTGCAAACAGAGTAAAAGCCATCTTTATTGGGAAACTGTTGGTTTCTTTTTCTTCATTGCTCTTATTTTATTTTTAACAACTAGAATTTTAAAGTACAATTTAAAATATTATAATTGAGATAATAGTTCTTTTATTTTTTTTTAAAGATTTTATTTATTTGAGAGAGTGAGCAGAGAGAGAGGGACAAGCAGATTCCCCGCGGAGCACGGAGCCCAATGCGGGGCTCGATCCTAGGACCCTGAGATCATGACCTGAGCTGAAATCAGGTGCTCAACCAACTGAGCCACCCAGATGCCCCAAGCAAATCACAATTTTAAATTAAAAAGAATTACCCCACATTTTATCAGGAATTTCTGTGAAGCCTTTTTAGCTGACTTTCTTCTTGACCTGAAGAGCAAAGGAAATACATGGATCCCTTTCTCTTTTAATAAAATTCTCTTTAGTTGCTAGATATGGCTTTCTGATTGGAGGAGTGGTCCACATCTTTGAAAGGAGCTGTTCTTTCCATGCTGTCAGCCCCGCTGTGATCATCCCTGTCTCCTGTGGCCACAGCCGATGTACTCTGTGACCCCGGTCTCTGGGTCACTAGTAATGTAGTAATGAGACCTTCTGGTGGATAAATGGGATCATTCCTTTTATACTTGGGATCCTGAAAAAGGGTGATGAGAACACACTCTTCCTAGCCTTCCCAGAAAGCCACATTTCAATTATACCCCAGGGGACCCAACTCCTGAAATCCCGTCTTTCTGTCCCGTGCTTCCCATGCCGACCCCGCCACCTTTCTTGTAAGCTGGTCCGGCGTGGATTTAAATGGAACCCATTTGACCACAGGCCTTTTTCTCTGCCCTTCAGGTTACCACGGCCTCTACTGTGAGGAGGAATATAACGAGTGCCTCTCTGCCCCTTGCCTGAACGCCGCCACCTGCAGGGACCTCGTTAATGGCTATGAGTGCGTGTGCCTGGCGGAATACAAAGGTGAGCACCGCTTGGCCTTCTTATGCCCGAGTGGCCTAAATGACGTCATGGATTTCTCAACTCAAATGCATAAACCTCTAATTGGAGCATTACATTATTCAGGGTAAAACCCAAATGCTGGAGATGGGATGATTTATGGGACCGAAGAGAGCAATTAGCAAGCCTGGGGTTTCCTCTTGATAAACTGAAAAATCTCTCTCCTGCCCTTTCCTTCTTCCCGTATCCTCACTCTTTTCTCTGTTGAATGTGTACAAGGCCGATGGTGAGAAGTGAGCCTAAGTGCCCCGTCAGACATAGATCGAAGCACAGGGCTGTGGGGCCCGCTGGGCAGAGACAGGATTCTGTGCTGTCGGTGGAGGACGCAGGTGGAATCTCACATGTTGGAAAAAAGTTATTCTCATTAAATGAGTCAGTTGCAAGGGAAATGTTGGCTCATTTGAGTGGATGCGTGTCAAAGTCACTCTGGAAAAACAGCCGACATCGACAGAGTGTTTGTAACGTGCAGACCTTGTTCTAAGCCTTCGTGTGCATGAACTCACACAGTCCTCCCAATAACCCTGTGAGGTGGCGGTGGTGTCCCTCAGAAGCCCAGCCAGCATGTCCCTAATGCCCTTTCTTCTGCCTCCCCGGTCGGCTCAATGGGGTGGCTCCATTCTCAGCCCAGATACCCTTGGACGGCACCACGCCAGGAAATCGTGTTTATCAGCTGCCACGCACATTTCTCTAAGCCACAACTTCAGGGCTGGGTTTAGATTTTTGTAATGCGTCTGTGGGCTCTATTTATAGCCATTTCATTTAACCTCTGGCTCCCAGCACTGCTTACTTGATACCATCCATCTGCCTGGTAACCTGGCCTTGCAGCTGCTGTTCCTTCTCATTGGATGGACCCACCGTTATTTAGTGGTCTTTTTGGTGGGGCTTCAGGGTGTGTAGGCCGCATGGAAGAACTTGATCTGGTCTCTCTGGCTGGAAGGGATGAGGCTGGGCCAAGTGTTTGCTTTATGTTCAGGAGATCTGCTTCTTCTCTCCCAGTGTGATGCCCATTTAGAGCCAAAGTCCACCATTTCCACAAGGGCAGATGTTCTGGCTTCATTCACGTGGATTTCATTCCAGGGTTTTCAGAGTATTGAGAAATAGGGAGTCTGGTCGATTCTGGAAAGAAGAATAAAGGAGCAGTGAGTCAGGAGACCTAAGTAGCTCAGCCTAGTCGTGCCACAGGCTTCCTGCTGAGCTGGGAGTAAACTCTTAAGCTGACCAGTCTTTATTTTGTCTGTATAAAGCAAGGACAATGATGTTTACCGACATTTTGAAATTCTTCAATGACAAAATTAGTAGTGGATGTGCTTCGAAAATTAAAAATTCCAAATTCTTCAGTTGATGATACAGTTTTCCTATCTTTGAGGCATTGCTCATGCTCTCGTGACTAGGCAGTAACAAATACAATTACACACCATGAGCCACAGATACATACGTTGATCCTTCTATATATACTCGAAATTCCGCCCCTTCTATCTTTCTGGGACTTGCCTCCATCAGTTACTGACTCTCTGTGAGGGATGACCCAAGAAGGAAAGTGACTCTGGAGGATATCCCAACATATCAGGGGATTTGGATTCTCAAGGAGAGGATGCAGGTGTTGGGAGCCTTTGCACACCACAAGGTTAGGGGAGAACCGAATCAATGGCTAGCAGAGCTCCAAGGACCCTCAGTTTACAAAGAGGAAGTATATGCTGTGAATGTGCTCCATGTGACCTAATGAGCTGGGGGGTGGGGTAGCTACAGATCTCATGGAGACTGGCTGCCCTCTAATATAACTGCACAATTGGGCTGAGCTGGTCCTTTATTTTCTGTATGGCTGAGAGAAAATGGTCTCTATTCATTCCTGGAGAGCCCTGAGCCTCCCAAAGTGGGAGGCCTCCACCCTGTGCCTTAGTATACAGGGTTACCAGTTGGCCGGCCTGTCTAGCACTGGAGGGGAGTCTCCAGTGGCATCTGTCTCTGCCTGATGTTGGCAACCTTCACCCTGGCCAGTACGGGGAGCCTGTCTCAGCAGCTCAAAAAGGGAAAATAATCTGGAAAATAAAAATGAAATTGCAACAACAACCAACAACTCCAAACACTCCAGGGAGGAAGTGAAGAAAGTAATATATATTACCCAAACTTGAATCTGGATCTGGAAAAGCCAAAGGAGGAACCGTTTTGTGGTAGAAGTGAAAATATGAGGAAAGGGAAATCCTGACTGACAAGATAGGAACTGTGGAGAGAAGATCCAGGAGCTCTGTTTCCGTCTGGATGGTGGATGCTCAGAGGAAGAAGGAACACATGGAAATAAAACCAGAATCAACTAATTACTAGAAGGAGAAGTCTATGAGCTGGGGAAAACTGAAGTTTTCAAATAGAATGAATAGGGCTTGCAGAATGCTAGAGGGGTTAATGAAAGAGATGATACACCATTTGAGATTTCCTAGTAAAATTTCTAAATCTAAGGATGAAGAGAAATCTTTTTTTTTATAAGAGTCTTCACAGGGAGTACAAGTTACATACAAAAGAAAGAGAATCAAATCTGCACTGACCTCCTCCTCTCTGCAATGAAACTAAGCAATAGTGGAGCAATGTTTCAGGCTGCTCAGTGCAAAGGACAGGTAGTCTTTACATTTGAGGGCAAAAGAAAGACGTTTGGCACATATAAGGATACAGAAAACATAACGCCATGTCCCCTTTCTAAGAAAATCATTTTAAAAAGTATTCTCACTCAGCTGGACCTAAATCAGAACAAATATAATTAGATAGGGGAAGATAGAGAACAGGAAGAAGAGGGTTGAACAGACTCCTTTAAATGCAGGGATAAACCTAAATAGATGATATTAAAGTGATTGTGGACAGTAATTTAATGGTGAAGAAAAGTCTTCTGAAAACAAGTTGTACCTGCTTTACCAATTAGTTCTGCTGTGTAATGAATCACCACAAAGTAGTGGCATGAAACGATACCCTTTTAGTTGCTAACGGTTCCTTTGGTCCAGGCATGTCTTCGTGGACTCCCTGCTCAGGGTCCCACAAGGCTGGAATCAAGATGTTGGCTGAACTGAGTTCTCATCTGAGGCTTGAATAGGAAAGGGTCAACCCTTGTGTTCCCTCCAGTTGTTGGCAGAATTCATAACCTTGTGGCTGTAGAATTCATGGCAGCTTGCTCCTTGAAAGGTAGCAGTGAAGGGGATATGAAAGAGAGCTTGTGCTGTTTCATGTCTCTCACTTCAGGAGAGAAGACTGCACCCACTAAAAATATCACCTGATTAGGTCTGGCCCACCTGACATCAACACAAATTGAACTGATTAGGGACATTAACTGCATCTTCAAAATCGCTTAACTTTTGCCAGATGCTCTTGGTTCAAAGCTCACATGCAAGGGAAGGGTGTGACTCATTGAGGGTCCTCCTAGGGTGTGTCCATCATACCCATTCTTAAGGAAAAATTTAAATGACCACATTCAAGTTTCCTATCATCTTAACTAAATCCATGAGTTGAAGGGGGTGGGGATGGGAAGGGTTGGAAGACATACACATCTGTTAAAGATCTCAGATGGGCAGGTAAAGTGATCATTTAATTTGGGTAGATGTGTAGAGACCTTTAGGTTTAGATTTAAAGTAAGACTCCCGAAGGCAAAGCCTAGCAGCGTAAATGGTCAGACTTCTAAAGTAAGAGTGGTGGGGAGGGAGTGGTGGGTGGTAGAAGGAAGTAAGAGAGTGGTGGAGGGAGCTAAGTCATGCCCTCCAATCTCTCCTTGGGGATGGACATTTGGAAGCATTTCCCTGAACATATATTTACATGTAGGTTGTGGGCATAAACTCGGGAACCTACCAGACAGGTGGGCAGCAAGTCCTGACTAGTACTTACCTCTGGAGTTAGAACTTAGGTGGGTGGTGTGTTGAGGGTGGGAGTTGAGACTTGAACCTCTTACTTTACATGTACATTTTTTTAAGTGGTGGTCTTTACTGTTTTATGTTAAAATAGAACTTAAATAAATGAATATGACTTTCTAAAAAGAATGCGTGTAATAGGAGGTCAGGCAAGTATAGCTAAGAACATTTTGAAAAAGGAGAGCAAGGGGGGGAGCTTTTGCCAGGTGTTTTACTATTATTTGTTTATTATTACTACATTCAGGTGTTATGGGTGTAAGAATGGACAGCTAACCAAAACCGAATAATGGCCCAGAAACCATCATCTGTAATAACGTATGACTCTTAAGGAGAAATTGCTATAAATGGGGAGGAATTGTTTTGTTTTGTTTTGTTTTTCATAAATGGTGTTGGAGAAATTGGGCTGCTAAGTATAGAAAAGAAATGTTTTTAAACTTCTAAATACATTCCATGTAAATCGGAAAAAAACACCTTTCATTGGCTCTGTCCTCCTCTACTTACTTCCTCTCTCTTCCTCTTTATTTTACAAGCAAGTTTCCCTAGAGTTGCTATAGATAGCCTCTCAGTTTGTAACATTTTTGTTCTTTTCTTAATCCTCTTCAGTTTGGGTCTTGTTCACACCATTCCGCTAAAATGGATCTCGCGGTGACCTAACTGAAGACATTTTTCAATGAGATCCCGAAGCCTACCCCTCCAGCTTCTGACTCCCAGGTCCTGGCTTCCTGCTTCCTTGCCCCACTGACCGTGGCTCCCCCTTGAAACTCACTCTGCTTTAGCTTCCTTCTGCGGCTTCGATCCTGTCCCCTGACTCTTGTCTCCCTGCCCTCACCGAATCCTTGCCCTCGGGACACCATGAATGTCATTGGTCCCCGGGTTTCCTTCTTGTCCCCTCCTTCTCCCCCCTACTCTTTGCCCTCATCCAGCCCTGCATCCACTGACTGCAATGTTGGGTCCCCAAACATGTGACACCTCCCTCCTTGACCTCTCCCAACCTTGTCTCTGTATTTGCTGTGACACTGCTGGTCAACCTTGCAGAAATTCCCTCTTTCTTAGGCTAAATCATCATCTCCTGAAAGGCAGAGACTATATAAAGTTTCTTTTTTCTTCCCGTCAGTTCTCTGCAGCTCTTGATGTGGTGGCTTACACAAAGGCAAATGCTCAACAGCCATCTTTAGTTGAATTGGAGTTGATGCTTAACGCACTGATTAAATAAAGGAAACCAACGTGAATGTTTTCCCAGAAAATTTCCGCTGTAGATCGTGAAATTGTTAGAAGCAAAATGCGTGGAGGGACTTGGAGTAACCTCCCTTTGGACATACCGAAATGCTCATCCCTCCTCCAAAATTAGCTCAGAGCTAGTTCATGGCAAGACTTTTAAGACCTTGGTTAGTTCACAACTTCATATTGTCAAAAAGTCAAGTTTCCCCATATGCTGTTGACTTTTATTTTAGTAGGACAAACTAAATGATCAACAGCATACTAATTTGGAATTTTTGGTGCTAAAGTTATAAAGAAAATATTTCAATTTTTAATTATGAAAACAGTGCAACAATAATACAATTTTTGGAAAGAAGAAAATTTGAGATATCGCATAGTTTTCAACAGAATACAAGAGCAGTAAGCATCTCTGTTGTCTCCATTCTTTTTAAATATACATGGTTTCACAGATACAATGGAGTATGCCTATAATTTTTATATTGTTCTTCCCATACCTTCCTTTTGTAGTATGTTTGATTTAGATTTTGCTAGGAAGTCTTACTAGTTCTATATTAAATGGCTATGTAATATTCCCCTAGGGGAATATTTATCCGTTCCCTTGTGGCATCTGATGTGAGGCTGTTATAAACAATTCTGAAATGAACATCTTTATGCATATAATTTTTATACTTTCTGAATTTGGGGGGGTGGGATTGGGTTTCAGAAATGAGATCACTGGGTTATAGGTTCGATCACATTGTACCTAATTGTTTATTTTAAAAGTCTACAGAAATTTGTAATTGAAGATGAGAACACTTTCTTTGTTTGCCCGAATTGCTTTTTTCTGTGTAACCAGTGAACAAGAATTTCTGGATATTTTGTGTATGTAGCCCTTCTCAAATAGTGGGATAGATACAAAAATGGGTAAGTCAGGGTTTCTTCCTCTTTTAGGCTATTATTTAGCCAGAGGAGCAGGCTGAGACTGGCACACACAAAAGAAATAATGAGGCCAAGGTCGAGATGTCAGTTGTCATTTCTGAGGGAAAGGAAGTTTAGAAGGGATTGGCCTCTGTGATGGTTGAAATACTGGGAAATTTTTTGTGGAGGAAATAAGTTTGAATAGAATAAGATGGTGTCTTAAAATGAATATTAAGTTCAAAGAACACATAGAGTTAATTGCTTTACCTGACTTAATTTTCCTGGAGCTAAAATAGTGACTTTCAGTTTTCAAAATATTAATCACGACTAAATTGTGATGGCAACAAAGATTTACAGTTGGCGCGCTCCTCTTTGAATTTTTGCTCATTTTAATTCTAAAATTAACTTCTATACAGAGCCCTGTTGGAATAGAGATCTTTTCAGAAACATTGCCTCTCTATCCCTTAATATGAAAAGTATGAATTTTTATTAGTTTTGACTGAATTACAGTTTATTTTTGCTTGAGACTAAACATAAGTTTTGTAATAGTGCGTGCTACGTCCTTTGCCAATGGGTGATGCATGTGTCGTTCCACAGACTTAATTTGAAGTGTGGACCTGGTTTTCCCTGACAAAATAGGGTGTTTTTGAGGCAGATTTGGAATGGCTTCTCACTCCTCTGGCAGTCCCACCTGTGTGTCAGCCAAAGTACACGGACCGTCGCCCCTCCTGAAAGGACAGGATTCTGGTGATATGTCCAGAATTTCTTCCATGCGTTAAATCATGGCCTCTGCTCTAAGAGACCTCAGAGATTTGTTGGGTGGGGGGGAGATGGATCAGACAGGAGAACAGATAAGTCATGCTTTAACACAGTAAAGTCTTTAACAGTGCGAATCTCAGCATGCTCTCAATGCACAATGGTGGAAAAATGGAGCTCTGTCTCGGGAGACTCAGGTTCAGCTTTCCAGAGAAAGAGCATTTGAGTTAGGCTTTGACAGATAGAATGTGCCAGGTGGAGACCAGCCTGGGCAGAAGGAAAGGAAGGCATTCTTGTCAGAGGAAACGGACGCCTAACACTCAGCGTGGTGCCAATGTTCAGGGCCCCTGGGGAAAGGGGTCTGAGAAGGAGCATTTGAGAGGAGGCTCCTTGGCACATCAGTAGTGTTCATGACTCTCTATTCTCTGTATTCAAGGTTTCCAGCTCATGGTTGTTCAGCTCTTAAGACAAGCTGAGCAATATGACAAATAGTTTTTATACAGGAATTAGCAAGGCTTGGCGTATAGAAACCAAGTACTCACTGGGGACTTTTAAGACCATCTTGCTTCATAGCCATCGTGTTTCCATGAAGATGAGCTTTTGTCCGATCTTGCTGCCAGAAAACTCTCAATCTCAAGTGACCCAATATCTTTTGAAAAAGAGAAATAACAAGGGATAAAATTATTGCGAAAAACAAAACAAAACAAAAACACCCAAAAGATCGAAATTGCTATTATCTTGGGTGTTTTCATCAAATTTATCTTACCAAAGTCTTTTAAGGTTAAGATGTTCAAATATTTAACCTACAATTTGCTTTTCTGCCTCATTTGAAAAATGTGGTCCTCTATGTGTTAATATATTCATTGTATTTATATTATGCAGGCTTCATTGGCTAATGCATTACTAGAAACCCAGTAAAGATCATCTTTGGTCATTCTTTCTTTAGATCTAATGGACATCTTTTTAGATTCCAGGCATCTCTGAACTTTGGTTATAGCTGTATTTCCCATTATTTTGGAAAGCCTTTTCTGTCACCTGGTTTCCATTGATCAGCCCCATGGGAATTTGAAAATATGTAGATCTTTGTTTTTTGATAAACACTTTGAAGCAGAAAAGACTGTTTTGCATTTTATTCTTTTGGTTGAGCCCGTGCTACTTGGGAATCAGTGGGAAAATAGAAGCTTCTGGGTGAAAAGGCTGTACACACCCAAGTGAGAAAACATTACCAGTTTTATGCACATCTTTAAATTAGTTTGATCTTGTACATCACCTGGGTTGCCTGGGTTACTTAAGGACTGTGAAAGCCGGGGAGGCTCATTCCAGTCACTGGAGACAGGGAGGGAGCTCGGATGGGGCTTTAGGGGGCCACGTCCCACCAGGCCCGAGGAGGTAGGATCGGGGTGGTAGGTGCAGGGAGAAAAGCCAGCAAGGACCTAAAAGTCACTTTGGGAAAATATCTGACAGAATATTATTCATGGGATGGGCACAAGGGGCAAAGGATAAAATGGAATGAAAAACCATCCATTCTAAATGCTTTGCCAGGCTCAAAGAGGTTGTTAGTATGAATACAGATAGGCAGTTCTGTTTTTCTTTCCTCTTACACTTTTTTCCTCCTTCTTGAGCCCGACTTCTTAAGACACTGAAAAAGAAATGATAGACAAAAATCCCAACAAGAATAATTTCAGTGACTAAATGATGAGTCACTGGGTGTGGCCGTCCTTTGCACAATATGAGCTCAGTAATGAAGTGGAGAGCAAATTGAGTAAATACCATTCCGTTACTATTTGCTTTCTGCTTATTTCACGAGGCTGTCAGGAAGGGTGAATGTATCACTATATACATCCTTATACAGAATATAATATAATCTATCTTCCCCTCCAAAGGGCAAGGGATGAGAGAGAGAGGAGAGATTAATCCATTCATCTATCTTGACCTTCCAGTGAAACAACAGCAGAAATCTTACCTTTCAAATAACACTGGATTTTTAAAGTTTTTTAGAAAATTATAAAGCAATAATTACTCATTGAAAAAAAAATTCCACCAATATAGAAATCCCTGATGTGAAAGCCAAAATAATTCAGTCCCTCAGCCCTACTTTTGCATACACACAGGCACACGTAAACTTTTTTTTTTTTACACCCATGGGAAACTGCTTTTGCTGTAAAGATTTGTACAATGCCTACTTTTTGTGAAATGGGTGCTGAGCTCTGTGGAATTTCGTACATTTGCACGGCCAGTCTGAGCTCATTCTCAGCAAACTACTTAGCAAGCACAGGCTCAGATTCAGATCGCTGGTGGTTTCAAATCCCAGCTGCCCCTCCCCCCCCCACCAGCCTCGTGACCTCACGTGCTTTTTCTTGGTCTCCTCATCTGCAAAATGGGGGTGGGGGAGGAAGAAGGCTGTTTGTCTCCTAGTGTTGTTGCCAAGATCCAGTGAGATGCAAAGCCCGGTGTGGGGGTCTGGGACAAAGCTAGTGCACAACACGTTAACTTTGGTACATGATGATCGGATTTGGTCTTTTAGAATAAAGTCTAAGTACCCCGTGGCTCCCTTTCTGCTCTGCAGTTCCCCAAAGTAGAAGCAGAGCTCATTTCAATATCTGACTCCTCATCTTCCCCATCAGGAGGCTGCTTATTAATTATATCAATATCTTATAAAGGATGTCTGGCTATTTTCTGTTTCTTTTGGAGACTTTGAAAACATTCTGATAAATGTTATCTTTCAGGCTTCTAACTTGCTGTTCCCCAGACTTTGGGACAGGGCGTCAGAGAAAGTACAGATAAATGACGATGGTGGGACCTAAAAGCAGAGAATGGATTTGTTGTGTCCTCATAAGGCGTGTCCTCACGACAGTCTAGGCGAGAGTGGGCACACGGGTGTGCACACACACACATATACGCACGCACACACGTGTGCCTCTGGGAAGCTGCCTTCACAGAGTTCTGGGCTGTCCCAACACTTGGCTTTTAAAGGCCATGGGGGCTGGAGATCCCTTAATGAGTGACCCCTTTTGCATCTGTTTCTCCGCAGGAATACACTGTGAGTCGTACAAGGACCCCTGCGCTAACATCAGCTGTCTGAACGGAGGCACCTGTGACGGCGAGGGCCTAAATAGCACCTGTGTTTGTACCCCTGGGTTTACAGGCAAGTGAGCGGGGGGCTGAGTTTTCAAATCTACCCCCAAATCCCGAAGATGGCCGCTGTTAAAAACAAAACAAAAACAAAAAACCTCAGAGATCTCTATGCATACATTATTGCAAAATATGAAAACGGTTGCAAAATGCGACTAGGCACTGCTTGGACAAAAATCTATAAAACAATTGGCTGTGTTGTCATTGCAGGAGGTTCTTCTGAAGCCAGCATTTGGTACAGAGACTTGCTGAGACTGTCATTGCTGTACGTTTCCAGAACCGCAGCTTTGAAACACGAGCAATGAGCCATTACACCAGCAGCTGAGAAAGTTTAAGTGTTCACGGAAGGAGGGGAAAGGAAGGATCAAATACGTCTTTTCTAGAAATTGCATTGGGTGACCGCATTTATTTTTAAGGAAAGATGCAACAGCGGCAGGATATTGAAAGAGGAAGGGAGGTGGTGGTGGTGGGCAGTGAGGGAGTGACTCTAGCGTCGGGGGTGCTTGTTAGTGAAGGTAGAGATGCTGGAGGTGTGGGGGATGGGGAGAGAAAACTGCCAAGAGCAAAGTAGATGAGGAGAGCAGGGGGCAGGGGGCAGGGGGCAGGGCTGCGTGCAAGAGAGGCCCTGGTGGCCTCTGAGCTCTGAGTGGGAAGAGTCATTTCTAGACTAGGGATCCTTCTAGATCACCCCCTACCCTATGGGCTTCAGGGAGGTGTTGAATCCCTGAAATTGGATGTGAAACATTGTATGGATGTGAATCTGTTGAGAGGAGGTTCCCATTTTCGTTGTATTCTCAGAAGGAACCATGAACCACGGGGGTAGAAAAGGTCGATCCTTTGCTTTTCCATCCGAACCCAAGAGTCCTGAAATGTAGAGCATCAGACAAGTCGAGGTTTCAAGAGCTTGCTCATCCAACAGAAGCATCTGGGTCACTCTGGTTTGCGAGTTGGGAAAGGTTGACATATAGAGTGCTCACAGAAGAAGGTGGGGACTTAGCTGCAGGAGAGCACCTTGCCCGCTCCCCGATCCCTATTCCCCTCTCCCCTGCCGAGCCGCTGGGCGCCCACCAAACCCTGGAGGATTTCACTGGGGAAGATGCCAACAGTCAAGATGTGGGAGAAACGACTTCTGATCTTCCTTCTATTTATCTGTGTCACATCCTGTGTTTTTCCTTTTGGGTTTTCCTGGGACTGAGAAGTGGGCTCATTCCAGAAAATGATTCGCAGATGGTTTTGTTTTGCTGACTGGTTTATAAACACACACAGACGTTTATACTCATCAATGAATGCAAAAATAATATTCGGGAAGCATTCTGGGTGTTTTTTTCTCACATTTTTATCTCACAAATCATAAAAAGCATGGAGGGAAGATTAGAAAATATAAGACCATAGGAAAAAACCCCACCGCTTAGCACCGCACCGCTCAGAGGCAGCCATTGTTAATATCTTGATACATATATCCAGAGATTTTCCTGAAGGTCTGTGTGTATAACATATAGCATAGAGTGTGTACGTGTGTATATTTGAATTCAAAAAGGAATTGTAATTCTCCTACCATATTGTAACCTACTTCTCACTTAAAAATACATGTATATCATAAATGTTTCATCATTTTTACTGGCTGCCCTTTAGCCCATTATATAAAATGTTGTTTTTTTTTCTAACACATGGCCAATTCAGCTTTTGGGGGAGTTGAGAACTGTTCCCTATTGTAAACAACATTGCTATGAGTATTCTTGTATATACATCTTTGTGGACGTGTCTGATTATTTCTTTGAGCTAATTTCCCGGAGTCCCAGGGTTCGGGAAAATATGTACATATTTCCATATTGCTCTTGAGAAAAAACACTGTACCAAATTCACTCCTACTGAGAATGCACAGGGACACCTGTTTTCTTGACTTCATAGAGATGCTGACAATTGTCATTTTGGTGGCCAAAAATGCCCTTTAAGTGTTGTCTTAGTTTGTAGGTCTTCGATTCATAGTGAGGTTGAATACTTTCAAAATAAATGTATGGTTATTTGTCTCTCTTCTTTTATAAACTCCCTATTCATATCCTTTCTTTGCTTTTCTACCATTTATGTTAACCAGCCTTCCTACCTTCCTTCCTTTCTTTTACTTTAAATTTTTATTTTAATCCCAGTTAACGAACACTTATATTAATTTTTATTCTTGATTTGAAATAGCCCTTTTTAGTAAGTATATGACATTTTATATTCCATAGGTTGAAAATATTTTTCTACTGCCATTTGCCTTTTAAATGTATAAGAGTGTTTTGTTTTCCTATATTTTATTTTTATATAATTAAATCTTTATATTTTCTTTTGCTTTCTTTTCTTGTAGTTTCATGTTGAAAAACCATACACATCAAGATTTTATAAACGTTCTCCTATATTATCCTAATAACATAGGAATTAATTTTGTGCATGCAACTCTTTAATCCATTTGAAATTTATCTTGGTATCCTATGGGAGATAAAATGCAATCTTTTCTCCAGAATATTTACCGAATCTCCAACTTCCTAATCAGCATTCGCTCTTGGGTATCTCTCAAAGATACCCGGAGATATAGATTTTCTTCTCCTTTCCTTCTTTTTTTTTTTTTAAGATTTATTTATTTATTTTAGAGAGAAAGAGGGTGGGGAGGGGCCCAGCGGGAGAGGGAGAGAATCTCAAGCAGACTCCCTGATGAGCGCAGAGCCCTACTCGGGGCTTGATCCCAGGACCCTGAGATCATGGCCTGAGCTGAAACCAAGAGTGGGATGACTAACTGACTAAGCCACCCAGGTGTCCCCTCCCTTCCTTCTTGAAATGTTTGCTAGCTCAATAAATGGTATTACCAGCACCTCAAGTTGTTCTGGCCAGAAACCAGGGACTCATTTTGTCCTCTCATCCTTTTCTCCCTTACATGCATCCAACCACCAAAGAATCCTAGAACCTCTTAGTTGCTCTCACTTCCTGGAGCCGACACTGGGCTGCCTTCATGTCCTGCCCACATGAGTGCAGCTCCTCTAACTGATCTCCCCACACCCCTTCGCCTCCACCCCTAACGCATTCTCCACACTGCGGAGACCTTATGAAATGAATCTCTAATCCCGTTGCTTGCTGCTTAAACATTGCTTATTGGTATTTCATTGTTTTTAAGGAAAAGATCAAAGCCCTTAGCATGATTGTCGAGACCCCAGCAGTCTGGCCCCATCCAGCATTTCCAGCCTTGCCCTGGCTGGTTCCTGAACACCCCGAGTCAGGATCTTCTCAGTAATGTTTTTCCCTCCATCTTCTGCCTCCTGGTTCCCTCTACTCCCCCACCCCACCCCTAGGCATCTCTTCCATGGTACTCACCCTGATCAGGGGGAGAGGTTGGACTCCTCCGTGAAGCACGTTCCAACATCGCTCTAAACTGGTCTTTGAAAACAACAAATGTCTATTTCTCTTCAGCCCTGGTAACTGTTCTGGCTGCAGAGGAGCACAGAACAGTTCCCAAAGTTGTTTGGAGATCTGTGCTGTTAATTTGTTTTAGAGAACACTGGTCCCATGAGATGCTTCTTGGAAAAAACATCTGTGGCCAAATAAATTTGGGACATGGTACCATGTGGAGATTCATAAAGGGTGTCTGGGAACTGCAGGCTCTGAGAGGTCGTATAACAGAGAATTTTATTTGCCTTTGTTTATTTTCCAAATATTTTTGATCATAGAACCTTTCTTCCTGCTTTAAGAAGAACCTAGAGTATTCTGAGAGTTAGCAGGCATGGAAGAGTCTGGTAAAATATTCACTTCCACCACCTAAGGAATGATGCTGCCTGTCCTCTTTGAATTGCTACCTTGGCACCAAATACTCTTTCATTTTACCTAAGAGTTAGCAAAACTTACTCTTGGCCAACTATTAAGCTCTCAAAAGCTCCCTAATTGACTAAGTGGAGTGAATTAGGCCAATCATTGTTAGATAATTAGACACTCAATCCAGTGGCACATTTACCTCATGAGATTGGCTTTTTCAGCTCAGGTTGATTTTGCTCTTCTTCTAGGTTGTTTAGGTGAGACCTTAGATTATTGATTTGAGGCTCTTCCCTATTTCTCATGTATAAAATTTGGTGCCGTAAATTCACCCTTCAACAATTCTTTGGCTGTGGGGGCACCTGGGTGGCTCTTGATTTTGGCTCAGGTCATGATCTCAGGGTCCTGGGATCGAGCCCCATGTCAGGCTCTGCACTCATCATGGAGCCTGCTTGTGATTCTCTCTTCTCTCTCTCTCTCTCTCTTTTTCTCTCTCCCTAAAGTAAATAAATAAAATCTTAAAGAAAACAATTCTTTGGCTGTGTCCCACAAATTTTATGTCATATTTTCATTTTCATTCAATTTTGTTTAGGTTCCTTTAGACTTTCTCTTGGATCCATGGAGTATTTATAAATGTGTCATGCAGTTGGGGCTTTTTTTTTTTTTTTCATGCACTTCTGGGCACTCCTGGGTTGCTGGTTTCTCCAGCATCTGATCTGGAACATAAGAAGCCAGAAGAAAACTCAGGTCCTCACCACCACATTGTTCCATGAGTCCTGAGTTTCCCTGCCAGTCTGTCTCCTCCTGACCTCTCAGAGTCTTCTCATGTTTGTTTTCTGTATAATGTCGAGAGTTTCTGCTTGTAGGAGGAGTAGGAAAAATATTTCCATCTCACCGTTTTGGAAGCAGAAATTTCATTCTGGCTGCTTTTAGGATTTGTCCTTGATTACTGGCTCTTAACAAATTGATCACGATGTTCCTTGGTGTGATTTTGTTGGTGTTTATCCTGCTTGGGATTTGGTGTAATTCTTGGATCTGTGGTTTTATAGTTTCATCAAATTTGGTACATTTTTAGCCATTATTCCACCAAATATTATTTTATGCCTCACTCCCCTTTCCTGGGACTCTAATTACATCTGTTAGACTACTTAGAATTGTACAACAGGTCACTGAGTCTCTACTGAGTTTAAAATAATTTTTTTTCCTGAGCCTCAGTGTGTTTAGCTTCTATTGCTGTTGTCAAGTTTACTGATTTATTCTGCAGAATCTAGTCTTCTGTGAAAATCATCCAGTATTGTTTTTAATTTCAGATATTGTATTTTTCATATCTAGAAGTTCCATTTGGTTCTTTTCTATATCTTTCATTTCTATCCTCATTTTGTTCATGTTTTCTTTCACATTTTGAGCAAATTCCTTGTTTACTCACCATCATCTGTGATTTCTGCGTCTGTCTTTGGACTGATATTTCTTTTGGTTATGGGCCACATATTCCTATTTCTTTGCACAGCTAATGGTCCTTGTGTGGATGGACAGTCATTGTGAGTTAAGTTATTGAGTGATAGGGTTTTTTGTGTTTCTTTTTTTAAGTGCTGTCCCTTCTCCCCCCCGCCCCCCCGCCCCCCGCCGGCAGGTAGGTAAGTTACTTGCTGGCCTGACTGATCCTTCCAAGGTTTGTTTTTATATTTTGGGGAGTGGGTCTGTGGTTGCCTTTTCTCTAGGGATAGAGATGCCCTAACACTGAGGTGCCACCTTTTCCCACTGAAGCACTGGGTGGCCAATGAAATATCTGCATTCTGACTTGTGAGACTTTGAACACAGTCCTCTAGGAGCTCGGGGAACTGCTCATCCTTCATGGTGTTTGCCAAGCCCATGGAGTTCCAACGTACTCACACATAGGATTTAGCAACAAACTCAAGGGGACGCAGCACATTTCTGATGCTCTTTTTCTGACTGGCTCTATCTTCTTTGGGAGCCTGTCCCACACGTTGCAGCTACCTCGTCCCCCACAAAGTCCGGTTGTCCTTGGTTCAGAGAGACACTGTGTTCTCAGTTGGCTGCAGGCAGGAAGCCAGGATGATCACGGCACTCAGCTGTTCTGTTTTCCTTCTCTTAGGGGCACTGCCTGTTGTCGAACGTCTCAAAAGTGTCTTTCCTTAAATATGTATGTCATCCGCTTTACCATGGAAGGCCAAGAGAGCTTTCCGTCACTCCATCACAGCAGAAGAAGTTCCAGATCATTTTTAACATTCATTTCATCTGGAATAAAATACCTGGGGAGCATGGAGGAGGTATAGTTAAAGTACCCAGTCCAGTGCCTGGCACACAGTAGCTCTATATTTAATACTCAGTATTCTAAATATAATGATTTTCGTTGATACCATGCAGTGTGGGCTGTATTAATTGAAGGGTTTACTCACAGCAGTGACTTTTTAATTTTTTTCCATTTTAATGTATTTGAGTAAAGCATACAGAATTAAAGGGCACACTTGTAAATTTGCATAAATACTATCAAATTTGATACCTACTCTATGTATTACCTCTTAGAAAGTAGTAGATTGAAAAGCAATTGTAAAAGATTTAAAGCTCAGACTCTGATTTCCAGCCTTAGTCAAGTAGAAATTTCATTATGTATTCTCTTTACAAATGTTATTCAAGCACAACAGTGATTTAAAAGTAATTGATTTTTCCCCAACTCAAATTAAAAAAAAAAATAAGCGAGTCAACAAAAAAGTCATCTGGCTCAACCCAGCAAAAGCATAAAGATTTATTAAGTCAACTCTGAGTAAGGCAAGGTGATATAATCTACCAAGAACTCTTCTAAAATAAGCCAGAATGCATATTGCTTGAGTGGAATGGTGGGGTGCTGAGGCGCTTACAAAAACATAATACTCTTACTATGGGAAACTCAAAATGAATTTACATGCAAATGAATATACATACAACAAAGTTGCTCTCTATAATTCATAATAAATCTTCAAGTACTTTGCGTAAGACTGATGTCAGAAAGCATGATCACTGTAAGGCAGAGAAGAGTGGTTGTGTTTGGGAGTCTTCTGGCTGAAAATTTTCCTCCAGGGGCTCCATCATCAGCATCACCCCACGTCCGTATTCCTACCGCCAGTTTAGGGCACGGTGAAGGCCTGGAACTGAGAGCCAGGTGGTGGATAAGCGATTCAACCAGAGGTGCAGGAGCCTCAGTCTGTAAGATAGGCCATTAGAGTAATCCAAGGGTTTTCGTGCCCCATGCGTCACCCCTGGGGTCAGCCAGAGCATCTGTGCTATGGAATTAGCTGCTGGCTGTTTGGGCCCCAGAGTTTATATCGTTAGCTAGTGTGATTTAATCCATCCCCAGTATGGCCCTAAGAACACAGTGGTGAAGAAATCCAGACGTGGATGGGCTTGGGACTCTCTCTGGTTCCCAGTCCTTTAGATCCTGAGTCTCAATAGTTTATCCATACATACCTACAAGTTCATTCTATTTCCCCCTGTCATTCTCTATTCCTATCAAATCCTTTCAATCTGGCGGGGGGGTGGGATGGTGGGCACTGCCCAGGAGGAGACAAAATTACGGCCTGCGGACTTCTCCCAACTACATTAGTGCCCCTTGGAGATCCAAGAACCAAAACATGCATTAGGGCTAGTCTGGAACCTGGACTGGGCATTTACCTCGCTGGTCCAAAAAGCTCTGGACCAGAGCAGGAACGGATGGGCTGGACTAGCTCTAGGACTGCCCAGAATTTAGGGGATTAGAGGGGTTTGGCGCTGACATTGGACTTGCGGAGCAGAGTGGAGCTTCTGAGTGTTGCCGGGCGGTGGAAGCACAGAGAAGTCAGGCTGTTTCTCCAGCTGTGGTTGCAGAGGTAATGGGGCATCTTATTGTAGAACGTGCAGTTTTCCCATGGCCAGCTGAGGACAGCCACTGTCCAATAAATGCCTCAAGTAAGTTTGTCTTCCCAAATGGTTGGAAAGTAGTACTGATGCATATGTATTTGTCAAGGCCTTTGATTTAGTCCTTTTAATGTTTCTCAGCACGTTCTTGTTTATATGTCTCCTCAACTAGTCTACCATGTAATGCCGGCTGTAATAGGTTAGTCTGTGCCCTTTTACACTCCGAGCAATTGCCCCATTAATAGCAAGACAACCTTTGAAATAGGTTAGTGAGAGGCAATCCATTTCATGTCTTTCCCACTGATGTAAATGACTATATTTATTGCAGGAAACACATTCACTTAGACACTACTGAATTACAATCAACCTAGTAGGGCCTCCGAGGAGTAAATGTTTTATTCGACAGATTTCACTTAGTTAAAAATAAAATAGTCAGATGCCAGGTAAGAAACAAGTGTGAAATGAAACAGGCACGAAATATTTCAGCGTGAGACTCCTGCTCTAAAATGGGCTGGGAGTGACATATGGTGGTTTCATAAAGGCGAGGTAAACCACTAGCAGATTGGAAAGTACTTTAATACTAATTAAGTAAGCCTGGAAGTAACTATCCGCGTGTACACTGAAACATCGCCTTTGAAAATGGACAAAATATTTGATTTTGGTCGATGACTGTAGCATTGCTAGGGGTTTTGTGGTTTGTTCTGTTTTTTTGAGTATCACTTTTTACATGTATCTAAGAAGATAGAGATATATTTTGAAAATTTCTTTTTCTCATTTTCAAACTCCTAAGAGAAATTGCCTCAATTTGAAGTACCCTGTTCCATTCATTTGATGAGCTGCCTTTCGGTTTGAGACGCGTACCCATCTTGTAGTGACTCATAGTATGGCTTAAAATCGGTGAAGGTGGCTTTGTTTGTGTAACTTGTGATAACAAGCTATTTCCTGTAAATTGGTGTTTGGACCACCATGACATCAGCCCATGGTCTGGTTTGTTAGTTTAAGCCAGGCTCTCTCTGATGGGGACAGGGATGCCCCAAAATGTTGGGTCTAGGCAGGGTCAAGAGCTCGCTTTTTCATCATGGGGGAAGGACAGGCTGGAGTGAACGTGAGCTTCCCCAGGGTCATGGTTTCCCAGGGTAGATTGAGTCAGAGCTAGGCTAACCCTAGACCTCAGAACTGTCTTTTCTTATGGGAGAGGGGGGTTGCTGATGCTCTTCCTGTGCATTTCCATATTTCCCAGAAACATATCCAGGGATTTGGAACGTGAAGTAAATGTTCATAATTGACTCTGGCTAGGCGCACAGCTGTGCCCTAGAACTCTCCAGAAAATAGTCAAATATCCAACACTTGGCCACAAAAAAAATCATAAGCTGTGAGTTTTGGCTTTCTGGAGTTTCAGAAAAATAAATAAGAAGATTCAGCGGATGGAATTCAAAATAAAATAGACTTTTTAAATAAAATCAGGAACCCCAGTTCTCTGTTCCCATCAACCTCAAAAGGTTTATTCAGACATGAGAATCAGCCTCAGTTAACTATTTGACTCTACTAAAGGAGATGCTTTTGACCAGTGCCATTTTTTTTTTTCCTTTTTTAGTTTTACTTCAGCAAAAGATCCCTTGTCTGGGACTTTGGGGGAGAGTTCCCCACTTCATGTACACAGCCAGTTGGGATCCGTTGCTGGACACCGTGACCCCGGCCTCGGATCTCCGCTTGGCCGGAGCAGTGATGGGTGACAGCGCCGCTGGTGAAGCCAGCTGTCCTCACTGCGTTTCTTTATCTCCGTAGGTGACGAGTGTGACATCGACATCAACGAATGTGACAGTACCCCATGCCATCACGCTGGTACCTGCCTGGACCAGCCCAATGGTTACACCTGCCACTGCCCTCACGGCTGGGTGGGTACAAACTGCGAGATCCGTAAGTATTATGCTGTTGTTTAACCTCATATTTGCATTCAACGAGAAGGGGACACTGAGCGTGCCCAGGTGGCCCCTGTCAACCACTGAGTGGCTAACCTGAGTCACCCATGCCTCCCGAGTCCCAGAGGAGTACCTTTGCTCCCTGCTCTGTGCCCCTCTCCCTCCTTCCTGAGTCTGAAGCCAGCCTTTCCACTGGGATGAGCATGTGCAGATGTCATCCAGAGCTCCCTGCTCCTAAGACGGCCAAAAATGTGCCGAGCAGAGAAGCATTAGAATCGTAGCACAAAATAGAGTCTTTGTGTTAAAAACATGAAAAAGCACACAGAATATAGACTCGCTTTGCATTTATGTCTTCAAGTGTCTTCAAATGTATTAGGTTCCATCCGTGGCCTGGAGAACAGTCCAGCGAGGCTGAGGGTAAAAGAAAATTGGAAAAACATTACGAGCTGCGGAGAGCAAAGTGTTCTCTCTTAGAGATGAGCCCACAGAAGTTTGAAAATGTCATAATCAAGATTTCGTGTATTAAAAGAGTGGGTCTGCTAGGATGGAGGTGAAAATGAGAACCGACACAGAGCTCGGTGTTCCGGTTGTTTGGGAAACTGGGAAAAATTCAACCGTGAAAGGGGTTTTCTTCTCACTGAAATTCATTGGGGCAGGGGATCTTCCATAAGGGCCCCCTCCTGGGCCCTCTCAGCCCTCCCCTACTTTTCTTCAGGTAGAGACGGCTCTTCCGCTGTGCGAGTTTGGAAGGAGGCAAATACATACGCATAGCCCTGTCAGTCTGTCTGTCTCCTTCTGGAGGAGACAGCTGCCCCTACTCCTCTGTTCTTTGTTTCAAGAACGACCTCCCACGGGTGGTCCAGCAGTGCCTACGGTGCCTTGGGCTTGTCTCCTTCTCAGTGTGGGCCTGAGGTAGGGGCCGCCTTCTGCAACATCTGTTTGACCAGTAACACTCTCTGGGCTCCTCCCTGCTTACCCTTTGTCTTTTTGCTCTTGTTTTGGAGCTTGAGAGGGGAAGAAGGTCATTATTTTCCGGGCTCCCCATCATTGACTTTCCTAAAACACCCATGGACAGAGTGGTCGTAGCACCAACTGGCCTTGCTGAAGATGGGCAAGAAGTGTTGTCTTGTTGAAGAAAGATACTGAAAGGGATTCCATGGTCAAAAGGCCAATGGCTATGAGCTGGTGTAGGATGTTAAGTCCATTCGGGGTCTGTTGGCAGAAAGCATCCCAGACTTGGCTCAGCAGGACCCTGGTTCTTCCCCTGGCAGGACACTCATTGTGTGGCTGCATTGAATTGTGCCAAGCCTCAGTTTACTTACCCATAAAATGGGACCAGTTTTCATTCTAAAATTTGGCGATGCTGTTGGAAATGACAAAGTTTGTGCCTTGGGGCAGAGTAATATCTATTGATAACTTTTAGATCTTAATTATGGAGATAAATGTATAGGAGAGTATGGTTAAGAAGTCAGGAATACACAAGAGGCCCTTAAGAAGTTTTTAAGCAAAGTACCATAATTATAAAAAATCGAAATTTTACTTCCTTCCAGTGATGATGATATAGGCAAAAGATATACAAAGGTGGAATAATAGAAAGGGTAAAAGTTGGCTTCAGATTCTGGCTCCATCATGTGACCTGGACAAACAAATATACCTCTCAGGGCCTTGTCGTCCTCACTTATAAGATGGTGATGGGAAGGAGCCGTGAGGCAAATATGTGCACACTTCTGCTATGCAGTAGGCACTAAATAAATGCTAATTTACTGTGGCTCATATACCATGAGCTACTCCTTGGGAGGACCAACCTTCGGCAGCTGTCTTTTTAGATGATGCATGCCCAGGGCACGGGCCACACTGAGTGGCCAGGTGTGAGGGGGCCCATCACAAAATTTTTTGGTCTACACTCGGGCTCTCTGTTGGCCTGCAATAGCACTTCCCATTTGATGATCTCATTTGCACCTCTCCATTAGGCCAAAGGCACTCAAATCAATGTCATCACAGATTAAGCTCTGCTAGGTTCCAGGGTTGGATGCTTCCACCCTTGACCTGAGTGTAAGAATGGAGAATGTGCAGGTGAGCTCTGCTATGACACGTAGCTGGAACTGGTGGCCAGCATCTAGAGAACTGGATCTGAATCAAATGGGATGGATCTAGGGCCCAAGAGGGGAGAATGCCTGGGTGGTACAAGGTCAGGTGGGTCGACCCCAGCAGGAAGGCTCAGATGTACACAGAGAACTGTAGCCCACGTAGCTACATAGCACAGAGGCCTCCGGGATGGTCGAAAGTGGTAAAGGAGTCTCCCATCAGCCTGACCTCTGCCTCCAGAGGCCACATTGCCTGCCTCCCTCTCTTGCTTAGTCTGCTTCAGCCAAAACATTGTCCTGTTTTCTCTTCCGTGGACAGGTCAAGTTTCTTCCTGCCTTTAGGCTTTTGCCTGTGCACTGCACTATGTCTGGAGTTTTTAGATTTTAGCACAGCTGTCTCCTTCTCTGCACATTGACTAACCCAATAGTGAATGTTTCTTAGAAATTTGCCCTTTTAGAGTTATTTATCTGTTCCCCAATCAGTAATAGGGAGCAAAAATCTAGCAGACCATAAAGATTTACCAAAGCCACCCAGAACACTGATCCAGAACTATCTAAAAGGATCATTTAAATAGCTTTAGTGTTTTATAATAACTCTGAAACAAATGCAAACCCCAAGTCTTGGAAAGTAACAAAACAACCTGGTGAAATTTTAGTTATCTCTCATCCATTCTTACCAACCTGGGACTGATAACAATTTTGTTCGTGGGTTTTAATAAAAATTTTGCCTTCCTAGAGTCAAGGTCTAACACTTACAATTCCTATACATGTTTAATAGTGTTGTTTTGTACCATCTGTGTAGTTGCTGTGGGGTTTATACAGGTAGAGTTACAGTCAATCTTGCTGACCAAGAACAGTTGGACAGTTAAGGACATTGAATCTATGGTTAAACTATTAAATTCATGATATTTTGCAGTTGACAAATAGGTGAATAAGCTATCCTGGATTTATAATTCAACCAATAATCAAGGGCCTCCTACTATCAAACATTGAACAGTAGGCCCAGGATATAAAGATTAATGAAGCAGCCCCTGCTTTTAGGAGCTCATAATCCATGTGTAGGTCATGGTATGTGGTGGGGTTGCTGTAGGTTTTCTGCAGGCTGCCCTAGGAACCCAGGGAAGGGGCCCAGAAAGAGTCTACATGGATGTCTTGAGACTCTCCTCCCTAAAATGCATGGAATTTCATAATGGTTGAAGAAACCCATGACATGATTATGTTATATGGACAGTCCTTATCGTACAAATTGGTTGGGTTCTTTAGTTCTCATTTTTGTATAAACTAGGATACTTTAAAAATAAAATTAATTAATCTTCCTCCTCCTCCAGACATCCACTTCGCTCCCTAAAGGTAACAATCATTAGCCATTTATCGTGTATATTTCCAGATGTGTCCAGTCAATTTTGTAAGTCCTCATTTTCTCCCATACAAATGGGACCATTCTATATGTACTGTCCAGCATCTTGCTTTTCTGCTGAATAAGATACAGAATGTGTATCCATGTTGGCTTATGCAGATCTCCCTCACTGCTGTAACACCACGTGGCTCCCAGTCTAGCCCCTCCAACCCTTTCTTCATATGTGGCCAGAAGCATTTCTTATTTTCTTCTAGTTTTCTAAAAATATATGGTCTGTTTCTTTTTTAAATTTTTTTCCAGTTCTTTTTATTGTGGCAAAATACATATAACATGAAATTAACTATCTTAATCATTTTAAATGTACAGTTCTGTGGTACTAAGTACATTCATCTTGTGAGCAACCCTCACCACCGTCCATCTCTGTAACTCTTTTCATCTTGAAAAACTGAAACTCTGTCCCCATTAAACGATAACTCCCCGTGACCCCTTCGTCAGCCCCTGGCAATCACCATTCTAGTTTCTTTGTTTGTTTCTTCCTGTTTTTAAATCTTCCCTTGTGCCTCATGCCTCAGCCTCTGGCACTCTGTTACTATGAGTTTGGCTTTTTCTTTTTCTTTCGATTCCCCATATAAGTGAGCCCATGCACTATTTGTCCTTCTGTACCTGACCTGTTTCACTTTGCATCATGTCCTTGGGTTCCTCCACAGGGTTGTAACTGGTAGAGGTGTCTTTTCCAAGTGCAAATCTGAATACTCAGACCTCCTTCCCACCACTGTTTCCATCCCTGCCAGTGCCAAGCTTTTATTGAAGACTAGAGACTGAAGGCCACACTCGGGCCTGTAGGACCTGTGAGAGAGAGCCCTTCCCCCCTCCGCCAGCCTCTGGCTTGCTCCTGCTAGATGCCAGTCTGTTCCCCTTGCAGTCCCTTGTCCTGTTCCCCACCTCCTCCCAGGTCTTGGCCTGGGACCGTGTTCCCTCGGCTCTCCCCTGTCCCTGGTTAATACCTACGTACCTGTAGAGCCCAGGTTCCTGCAGACCCTCACCACTGGAGCTCTCCTGATTCCCCAATGAGATGGAGCTTCCCTTTGTCCTTTCTGGTAGCACCACAGAGGTGGTCCTTCTTTGGCCCAGCATACTTGTATGTCTGCCACTGCTTTGGGACCATTTTTGGGGTCCCTGTGCCCCTCAAAAGGCTGGGGGCTCCAGAAGCCAACTGTCTACTTTCCCTCACTCTATATGCCGGCACCCAGCACCATGCCTGGTACAAGTAGGTGCCAAATTAATGGTTGTTCAGGGAATGGATCCTACGAAGGAGGTGAGCTGTTCTTTCTATTCCTTTCCTATGCCTTTCTCTTCTGAAGATTAATGAGAGCTGTTAGTATTTTCTAATCTCATTGACTGCCTTGCTTGTCCAGATAACTTGGAGCTATAGGAAACAGAAGGTAATTTGAAATTCTTCCTCTCAAGTAGTCTAGCAGCAGATGGTCTCAAAAATTATCTAGCTGTCTGATGTCTACACATCACACACTCACTCTCTTTTTAAATAACGTAGGTGAACACATTAGCTAGTCTGGCTACGTTCATGTAGGTAAATTAAAAACCAGATATAGGCAGTGTGTTTTAGAATGAAATTTATAAGTCTAATGACAGCTCTTTTGGTGGGGTGGAGGTTGTAGGTGGGTCTGGTTTTATTCTCAGCCTGGCCACAGATGGCCTCTATCACCTTGAGCAGCTGCTCCAAGTCCAGCTTCTCTACCTAGCTCAAGGTGCTTTGTTTAGGGCCAGTTGAAATGTAAATGTGAAAACACTTTGGAAAATGCAAAACCTGAAACAAATTTAGTTGAAACCTAAATACAGCTGGTCTAGCAGACCCATAAGCGTGACATTTTTCCTAGAACAGTTTGTGTGCATGTGTTCTGGGTCATGCACCTGCTGGAGCCGATGGGATCATTCCACCCAGCACACTCTGGTGCACAGTTCCTCCCTGAGCTGTGCTGTAGCTGGTGTAGTAAGTGATGCATGCAACCGAACTCCTGGGATGCCGCAAAGCGATAGCTCATGAGGGTCTTATGACTTATGCGAGGACTGGGGGCGGCAGGTGCAGCCGCCTGGTGCAGATACACTTGCCGCTTCCAGACCAAGGGTTGGATCTCTTCAGATCCAGCCCAATTCCAACCTGATTAGTGTGTCAAGCAGCCACACTCACTTCTATCAGAGAAGTTTTAGCTGACAGTAAAGTAGAAAAAAAAGAGCAGGGGTAGGGGAGGAGGGGGCAGAGTTTTTCGGGGGAATTTCGAGAAAGTTTTCCCAAAAGTTCCAGCAGCCTGGAAGGCAGAGTTTGGGGAAGTAGAGCAGATGATCAGAAATGTCAGCAGTGTGGGCAGCTCAGGCCTGGGACACCCAGCGCCGCTGTCTTTCCACGGTAGTGGTCGTTGATACGATGTATAGCTGTTTACATGAAGTTAGGCTTCAACGATGAGGGCTCATCAAGAACTCGTGTGATCCTGCCACGGTGATCGGAGCAGAGCCCTCTACCAAGCTGGAGTAGAAGCAGTGCTGGCTTTCCTTGTGTTGACGCTAGATGGGTGTTAGAGCACACTCTGAGCATTGGACTCCAGCCTACAACTGAATTTTTCAGAGAATGGTGAAATACTTGGAAATCAAGTGAGTCATGCTCCTCTTTCAGCCAGAAAAATGAGCGTCTCTCTCAGTGTGCACCAGGTATTGCCTAATGAAATGGCTGTGATCTGCAACTGAGGCTGAGTTCTAGCTTCACAAAAACACCTTCTCCTGTCCGTGGCGACCTTGCTGTGATTTATGCTGGTGCATCTGCCTGTCTGTGAGCTGGTTCGGATGGAGCAGTGAATGCGCTAATAGCTCACTGCTGCATGGGCTTCGTGAGCTTGGGCAGGCAGCCTCGGATGGCCAAACCAGCCTTCAGGGGTCTTGGTGAAAACTCAGGAGTCAGAAGATCTGGATGCGAACATGCTTCATTCATCTCGTTCTTCAGGCTTGGGGCAGGGCCCTATTCCCATTAGGCTTCTAGGAAAGGGCTCTGCACATTTGGCCCTTGTTTGGGAATCTACCCATGCTTTTCTTCCGATTGTCACTTTTCAAGGTAAAGAACTGGTTCTCGGATTCCGTGCACTGAGGATGTAGCTAAGAGGAGGGTCTGAATACCCGGAGATCACAAACACTCTCACAGCATACAGCATGGTGAGAGGAATCTGAGCATTTGGTGGGAAGACGGGCCCTTCCACACCCACCCCTGAGTCCCATTTCCAGGCATCTCGAGTCCTAACGTGCAAATGATGGTCTGGAGCTGGGGGTGCTGTGAGTCTAGTAGAGAAGGCATCCCTTCCCACATGAATTTCACTTCTCGTCTTATTGAGCCCTTTTTATTTTCAAAACTTCCTTTCAAATCCTGTTCACATCATCCAGAACATTCCACGTGTGTGCAGTTCTGCAAACAGGACATAATCTGGCACTCTTGGCCTGTTTCGGGCAGGACAGTATGTCACATTCTTCCATTTACTTTCCTGCTCAGACCGGTTGGTGTTTTTTGAAAGGGCACAGGGCAATGTTCAGTAATCCTGAGCTCACGGTGTGTGCTCCAGAGGACAGTGCCTTCCTCCTCTTTATCCTTTATCCCTCTTCCACCACCATACCTGCTCCTTTTTAGGACTGCCCACCACGTGCCCAGCAGCAGACTTTCTTCCTATTATTTACATGTTCCCTAACTTAGGCTCCCAGCGAGCCATGGGGTAGCTGTTGCTATTTTCATCTTGCAAATGAAGAAACCAAGTCTCAGGAAGGTCAAGTAAATGTCCCAGTGGGGATTGACAGCAAGGGTGGTGTGATCCCAAAGCCCATACTTCTTCCACTATTGTGTTGGAAGAAAATTCCGTGGATGTTTTCTTCCAATAACTTACTGCTTATTTTAAAATATTTTTTATAAAAGGAATATTTTATTCCTTTGAAAAAAGCTGGAGGGCGCCTGGGTGGCTCAGTTGGTTAAGCAACTGCCTTCAGCTCAGGTCATGATCCTGGAGTCCCGGGATCGAGTCCCACATCGGGCTCCCTGCTCAGCAGGGAGTCTGCTTCTCCCTCTGACCCTCCTCCCTCTCGTGCTCTCTCTCATTCTCTCTCTCGCAAAAAAAATAAAAATTAAAAAAATAAAAATTTATAAATAAAAAAAAAAAGCTGGAAAAGACTGAGAAGTGGAATGAAAGAAATAAAAATGGCTTGTAATCCTGCCTTCCAGTGATCTCTGCTGTTCACGTGTGGTTGTGTGGGGCAGACGCTAAGGACTTGGATCTGCACTTGAACTCACCCAGCCACTGATGCCGATCTCCCATAAAGTAGAGAGAGAAAATCATGCATCTTTGATTGGTCATAATGATTAAGTAAGATGTTTTCAAAGAGCTTAACATAGTAGGGAGGCAACAGATGTTCATCATTACTATCACTCTGTCCTGAGCTTTTCAATGTGTGGATGGACACTTTGAGCTCATGTGTGACTGTACCATATGGCTAGGTCCTGTTTTTGTTTTTTTGTTAGAACAAAACATCTCTCCAGCTCACTGAGAGCTGAATATTTAGGTGGTTTCCCATTATTTTAGCTTTTATAAATTGTTTTTCTGCTTGTGGGGTGGGGAGAGGGTATGGGGGTGGGGCCTCTAGCTGTGGCTGTAACATTTTCTTTCTTTAAAAAAAATACCTGAAAAAAAGGTAAAGCGAAAATGGTCCAATATGAACTTTATTAACTTTGAACAGTGTTAACTTTGAGTGGTGAATACCTGGGAGTCGTGCTTATTTAATGAACCTTTTTCAAAATGTGTAATAATTGATCAATTTAACATTTCAGAAATTGGGATGCTGAGATGAACATCCTTGTATGTAGGGCTTTATGCATTTATAGGATCATTTCCCCAGCATAAATTCTAAAAATTGGAATTTCTGGGTCAAAAGGTACTCCATTAAGTCTACACAAGGGCTGTGTATCAGTTCACACGTCCTCATGTCTGCGCCCATGTCAACTGTGGTTATCAAAAATTTTAAATAATATTTGGGAACCGATAGAAGAATTGCATTCTTAAAGAACCGTGAAACTAAACACTTTTCTACTTGTATTTCTTTGGTGGATTCCTTTTTATATCCTTTGCCCATTTTTCTATGGTGTGTTCTTGGTTTATCTTAATGATTTGTAAGAGCCCCTTATATATTAAGGACAGTAGCCTTTGATCTAGGTTATCCACAGAAAAGAATTCTTCCCGGTTTGGACAGCCCTTATATTTTAGGTTGCCCAAGCAAGGACAGTGAAGACTCTCCCATTCCAAAGGTCATGGGTCACTTCCAGTCCTTTGCTTATTTTCGCCTCAGACCTCCAGTGGAAGTCGGGTCACATGGCGGAGAGTCTCACCAACATGCCCCGGCACTCCCTGTACATCATCATCGGGGCCCTCTGCGTCGCCTTCATCCTGATGCTGATCATCCTCATTGTGGGCATTTGCCGCATCAGCCGCATCGAGTACCAGGGCTCTTCCAGGCCAGCCTACGAGGAGTTCTATAACTGTCGCAGCATCGACAGCGAGTTCAGCAACGCCATCGCCTCCATCCGGCATGCCAGGTGGGCTTCGGGGGGAGCGGGAGGCGGAGGGGGGGCGTAAGGGAGATCCCGCTTCCACCTGTGCACTCCTGGGACCGGGGTGATGTTATGAACAGGACTTCCCACCTGCAAAGAGGATTTCGTAGACGAAAGCATAGGTTCAAGGCATACCGGGGACAGATAATTGAGCTGCTTTATAAGCAACCCCTTTGCGTTTGCTGCTAGCTTTCTGTTTTCATTGAAGACATTCATTCATTTAATTTGTGTTTATCTGTGCTTTAAATAGCCGATTCTTAATCACGGTGTAGGAAACATTTCTTGATGACAGCTTTTTGGAATGTCTTTAGCTACGTTCTTCAAACAGCCTGGATAGAAATAACATTTGATTTAGGGGTTGACTTAAGGAGAAACAAACAGCTATCATTCTGCTGTTAGCGTTCATATCATATAACACGGTGTCCTTTTCTGGAGGAAAGACTCCTGGAGAGACAAGGAGTGAGTGTGGTGCCACAGAGGGAGCGTGAGGCCCAACTACGCCATTACCTGACTCTATTTCACACAGACCAGTCAAACCTCCACAAATACTGTTCCCTCAACTGAAAAAAGATATAAGTCTCCCTGCTTAGAGAGTTAAGGCAATCAGATTAAATTATGAATATTAAAGACCTGTGTAAGCAGATAACACCATATTTATTTCTCTTATCTAACAATAAAAAAAATCAGCTAATCTAACATTTTGTTGACTTTTGCAAAGGATATCTACTACCAGAACAATAATGACAGTCTTTATTAAAGGAAAGCTATCTCTTCTTTTAACTGCTAGAACAATCTAAAGCACACAATTCAGAAAGTCTGTGTGGTAGCGAGGAGTGGGCTGAGCTTGGTGTCTTAAGATTGGGGTTCACGAGACCTAGTGGATGCATAACCTTTGCTGAGACATGGGGTACTGGTCTTGATCAAAACACACACAGATCCAAACTCTGTCCGAATGGCGTAGAAGCTGAGAGGTTCAGAAAGTTTGCTTTCTTCGCGAGGAAGTCCCCAAACCCGAGACTCCGATCTGACTGTGATCTTGCCCCTCTAATGGAAGCAAAAGCCCGACCCTGGCCTCCAGGGAGAGGAGCCACTGGAAGGAGAGAAATTGGGAGACATGGAGAAGCCGCCCCGATGCCCAGGTGGGGCGAGGGTATCTTCTTTTTGAGAGCTGTACCCCCCTTACTTCTAGAACTGTGAAGGAGAAGGGGAAGGTGCATCCCCTTTCAAGTCAGGCCCTGCACGGCTGCTCATTCTTGACCCTCCTTCCTTTCAGGGCTGAGCTTGCCAGCACAGCCTCCAGGGAGCCCTGAGACCAGTCCCTGCCTGTCCTGTTAATTTGACTCCTCCACCGGCCTATACATAAAAGGCCATTTTATTCCTGTCTTCAATGCGTCCTGGCGCATAGTAGGCCTGACTTCCCAGAATTTGAGGTCTGTAGTGAAAGGACAGTCTCTGTTAGGGCCTGGTGTAGGATGTCTTGACCTGCCTGACAGGTGGCTTCATCCTAGGGCAACAGGCCTTGTAAGTGGCCCGCAGGAGTGTTCGCAGTACTCAGAAGTCACGGGATGAGAGGTGGTAGAAGGTGTAAAAAGGAGAGGAGAGGAGATAAGCTGCTTTGTTGCTCGAGAGGCTTCTCTCTCCATTCCCGGGTGCTGAGTTCACCAGGAAGGAGCAGATTCAGGGGCGTTACACTAGGATGTATTGGGAGACCCAAGGAGTCAGGTTCCTTCTACCCCCAGAGGGACCTCTGGCTAAGATTCTTTTGTGTTCGACAGGAGTATTTTATTTCAGCCCCAGAATGGTTTAGTAAGATAGGTTCTTCTGAGCTTCCTGCTTATGTAGCCCACTTGAAAGATGTTTAACTGTGTAGTCTTGGAAGGAAAGAATAAACTTGAAAGCATTTACAAACCTGGTTCTTATTTGGTGCCGATTTTTATCAAAAATATTTACTGCAGAATTCCCAACCAATAAGCTCCTCCATGCACCAGCGACTGCAGATAAAACCATTGAAGTTAATACAATACCTTCTGAGATATCTGGAACATTCCCTTATAAATGTTGATTCAGCTCTGACCTGTGGTTTCTACAGCATGGCTCTCTCGAGGTCCTGGCTGGGTCTCTGGCTGGTTGGCCCCTTTGCACTCCCTTTTCCCTGAAACCCTAGAAAGGCATTGGAAAAAAATAATAATAACCCTTTTGATATTACCTCCTCCCTAGTTTCCAGGAGTGGCCTACAGCTAACGCCCATTTCACAGCCTGCCTCCCAGCTGCTGACATTGGATCAGAATAACTGCAGCTCAGTAGCGATGCAGGACGACTCCCGAGTGGGTCACCTGTGACATTCACGAGCGGCCGAGGAAGGGTCTGGTGGTTCTGACATCAGCACTCAGTTGATGCTGGTGCTCCCCTCTCTCTCATTGTTAAGAGTCCTGTGTTCTGTGACTGCTTTGCTGACGCTCAGGCTGGAGAGAGTTTGCAAGTGACCAGCGGGAGCGAATGGGCCTTCCAGGCTCCAGAGCGAGATCATGTCTCGGCTGCAGGTTGCTCACTGCTCCCCCAGCTTGAAGGGCCTGATCACAGAACACACAAAAAAAACCCAGAACAGCTGTGAAAGGATCTGGTCACGTTTTCTCAAATAGCATCTCGGAGTTCTGGCCTTTCTCAAGGTCAGATCCACCTACATTCCCTGCGGTGGTGTTTTAGCTTTTGACTTTCAGGCAAGTACGAGCTGGAAGAACGCACACTCTTTGATCTGCCTTGCAGTTGGTTGCAGTAGCTTACAGTGACATAAGAAGTACAAGACTTGTCACCGGGCGTGTTGGACACGTCAGTGACTTTAAGGCTACTGATGCCACAACTTCTGTTACTGCGTCTGATTTTGTTGCTTTCTGTGCTAGGTCTTTCGGAGGGCCGGACTCTAGGCGATTCTTACAGTCTTCATCGAGGGCCTGCAAAAAATTTTAGACCTTACAGACCTTACACTGTCTGGGTCTCTGTGACTATTTAGCTCTGCCTCTGTAGTGCAAAAGTAGCAAAGATGCATTATGGAGGGGCTCAACTGCGTGCCAATAAAACTTTATTTAAAAACAGGCAACAGGCTGTCGTTGGCTTGCAGGCTAAATACATTGTTAACCCCTGGTCTCCAGTATAACTTTCTCTCTTTTCCAAACTTGTTTTTTACATTTAAAACATATCTTTGTGATAAGGGAAAAAAAAAACAACAAAACCAAAACCAGTGTGTTACTTAAAGAAGAGTCACATAAATACTCCTGCCATAACACAGCAAGCTCTTACATCGGTTTAGTGCCTGAGAGTTTAAATGGAATTCTGTGGGTGTTGGCTTGTTTCTTAACACAAAGGAAATATAAAAAGCTGTTGGGATTAAAAATTTAAGTAGGAATGCGCATTCATTTTTTTTACTACATGTGAGCTTGCCATGGTGATAGGTGTAGGAGATTCAAGGAAAGTCTTGTTTCATTTTATTGTGTTTAAAGATTTTATTTATTTGTGAGAGAGAGCGAGCGAGAGAGAGAGAGAGAGTCATTGAGCAGGGGGAGAAGCAGAGGGAGAGGGATATGCAGACTCCGTGCTGAGCGCAGAGCCCAGTGCAGGGCTCTATTTTAGGACCCTGAGATCATGACCTGAGCTGAAACCAAAAGTTGGATGCTTAACCCACTGAGCCACCCAGGCGCCCCTCATTTTACTGTGTTTTAGAAGCCATTTTACTTCTCTGTGGTGGATATTGCACTTTGGGGGGAGACCTCTGTATCTCACCTGAGGAATTTGGCTGGATAGGCTTCTCAGGAGCTAGTTGAGTCATAGGACAGGGATTCCAGCTCCAAGATAGCGCTGAGGCAGTTAAGCCCTTTTAAAACCAGGTTACCTTAAAAAAATAAATAAATAAATAAAATAAAATAAAATAAAACAAAACCAGGTTACCTTTGTAACCAGCATTATGCTTTTTTTTTTTTTTTTTAAAGATTTTATTTATTTATTTGACAGAGACATAGAGAGCACAGATAGGCAGAGTGGCAGGCAGAGGGAGAAGCAGGCTCTGTGCTGAGCAGAAAGCCGATATGGGGCTCGATCCCAGGACCTGGGATCATGACCTGAGCCGAAGGCAGACGCTTAACCGACTGAGCCACTCAGGTGCCCCACCAGCTTTATGCTTTCTGACCCATTCTGGTTTGGAGTTATCTCATTAGCACTGTGCACACAGCCAGTGACTTGTCTAGATACGAAGCAAGGTTCTCGTTCTTCAGTTGATTCCGTGTAAGTACAGTGGCCGCATGGCTGCTTCTGACCGGTTTCAGCCCTTGCCTCGTTATGCTCAGTGGATCCGAAACACCCATCCTCAAACCTGCCTTGTTGATATTCAGCCCCATGATGACAATTTAAGATGACAGCCTTTTGAATGTTAGCTTGTTGGCAGATTGCATAACGTGGAGGCATTTAACTTCCTAGATTTTGGAGACACAGATTCTTCCTCAAACTATGAAGTCATATAAAAATAAAATGGATATTTTAAACACATATTCAACCTATTAAGTTGCTTAAATTTTTCCTCTTGGCCAGCCAACTGATTAGTAGGCAGTCTGTGATTTGCTGACCCTCCCATCAAAGGTCCCCCAGGAAACTGTCCCACAGCACCTATGTGAGGACCTGGAGGGCTTTTCCCTGGTATCGCTTGACTTTTGAAATGAATCAATATTATTAGTGGTGTATTGTTACCAATGAATCTAGCTGTTTTATGAGAAATAGATTGTCAAAATATTTGTGCCTTAAAGTAGCTTCTAAAAGTTTCAGCCTTGGGAGAAAGTGTTCCGATCCAGTTGGCTTTTACATTGTTGCCCTTTCCCTAGTCTCAGATGAGGCAGGCCTTGCTCAGTTTAGATAAACAGACCACAGGCTGGAATCCAGCCCACACGTAGGCAAGCACCAGTGTGGCTTCACATTTTAGACATGATTTTATCGAAAGCTTTTTCATCTTTTGGTACTATCCTTGGATTTCCTGGTGGTAGAATGCATTAACTCTTTAAGTCTGCATTTTGCCTGTTCCCATCTGGCATGGTTTGTGCCTTGGTGCCCCCGGAGACCAGTAAATCTTCAGTGAATCAGAACAAAAGATTGATGAATGTTTAAACACAAAAGATCCGATGAAGAATGCATCATTTTCTCCTTTCCCACTCCGTTCTACTTCTCCTTGCTGAATGTAAGAAGACCGGCTCTCCAAGATAGCAAAGGGAAAAGGAGGAATGGGGGCCGGGGAGGTAGGCTGAAAGCCATGGTAAATAAGCCCCTTGAAGTCTTCAGGGCCCATCCCACCAGCCTTTTTAAAATGTAAGGTTCTTTACATGTTTGTTTTTTTGAACCTTATTGGACTTGAAATGGTTAAAAAATGTGGTCTCTTTTGAGGGAGGAGGCACTGTGGGTAAATGTGGAAGATTGTTTAAATCATATGGTACTCCAGGGACTTTAGGGAAGGTGAGGCCTTCAATGGGAAGAGACCACCCAGAAGTTGAATTGGCTTTATTTTAGTACTCTTCCATCTTAAGACTGGTTTGGCAGGAAGTCCTGAAATTGGATTTTGACACCCCTGGCTTCTGGGCGTCAGTCCTGCTGCTGAGGGGATTCTTGTATACACAGATCTTTGGGGACAATGGCTTGATGGGTGCCATCTATTACGGACAAACATCTCCTTATCTGAAGTCCTTTCCTCTCTCTGCCCTTCTCCTCATGTTGGGACCTCAGATGACCTCTGAGCCTTCCTAACCTTCCTGTAGTATGTTCCAGGCACTAAAATGGATGTAAAATAAACTTGCCTCTCCAGATGGTTAACGGGTCTCAGAAGAAAAAGCCAAATAGATACATGTTGTCTTAAAACCTATTATAGGGCTGTCGGGCCGACTGCTTTGCCAGGATTTAACCTGGAAGCTTCAACATTCATTTGGACCCCATGTTTCATGAAATCCTTTTTTTACCTCCTGCACTGGAGACTAACATGCGTACTCATTCAGCGCTGATATCCGGATCTCTTAAATTTCTGTGCTTGCTAGAGAATATCTTTCTTAGGGTATTTTTATTGTTCCATCTGATTCTTGAATTTAAGTTAATTCTCACCACTTGCTTTTCATAGGACTTGAGATCCACTGTTCATCTAACTTGGGTCCTCTCTCCCCTGTGGTTTCAGGTTTGGAAAGAAATCCCGGCCTGCGATGTACGACGTGACCCCCATCGCCTATGAGGACTACAGCCCCGATGACAAACCCCTGGTCACGCTGATTAAAACAAAAGATTTGTAATCTTTTTGGGGGGATTATTTTTCAAAAAGATGGGATACTACCCTCATTTAAATATTTTTAAGAAAATAAAAAGCTTAAGAAATTTGAAATGGTAGCTGCTCAAGAGTTTTCGGTAGAATATCGAAGAACTAATTTTCTGCAGCTTTTAGTTTGGAAAAAATATTTTAAAAAAAACAAAATTTGTGAAATCCATAGACTACGTTTTAATGTACTTTCAGCTCTTTAAACTGTATGCTTCGACTAGTGTGTGCTCTTCCCATGGTAGATACCGTCATGAGATACAGTTGACTTTCTGTGGCTGTTACAGAGGCTAAGTCTAATCGAGAAGTTTCTATGTGACGTGTGAGTGCCGGCTTTCTGAGTAGTTAGAAAACATATGTAGAGTATGACCCATATAACAGTATACCCGTTAACCTAAAACGAAGTCTGAGATGTTTATTTCGTGAATAAGAAACTAGTTGCATTTATTATTCCTAACCCGAATGAAATTAGCCTTTGCCTTATTCTGTGCATGGGTAAGTAACTTATTTCTGCACTGTTTCATTGAACCTTGCAGAAATGTTCTTTTGAGTTCGTTTTTGTCATTTCCATAACAGTCGTCAAGCCAGGCCTTGAAATCATGCAGCAAAAGGGCCTCGTGAGGCAAATTATGATCACATTGAATCTATATTTCCTTTTAAAAGTCAAGGGTTTTATACCGTGAGTAAATTAAATTTACGTTGGAGTTGTTTGTTGCTAAGAGGTAGTCAATATAAGAGAGTACTATTTCCTTCTGTAGTGAGTATTTCTCATAGTGCATCTTTATTTATATCCAGGACATGTTTGTGGCTGTATTGGATTGATATGTGCTTCTTCTGATTCTTGCTAATTTCACAGAATATTGAATAAATGTTACCAAGTCCAGGATGCGCTTGTCTCTCGTTCTTTTAAAATTATGGAAAACGTTTTGGGTTTGATATTGCTTGTCAGTCTCCCTGTTTTGCACATCTTAACGCTGCCAAGGAGCCATTCCTTTTGCCCTCCTGATTTCCGAACTGCCAGGGAACCATTCCTACCTTCCTTTAAACATGAAAGATGGATTTTATTTATTTATTTTGAGAGAGAGAGCGTGCATGCGCACATGAGCAGGGGGAGGGGCAGAGGGAGAGGGAGAAGCAGACTCCCCACTGAGCAGGGAGCCTGATGCGGGGCTCCATCCCAGGATCCCGGGATCATGATTTGAGCCGAAGGCCACCCAGGTGCCCCTAAGAATTCTCCTTTTAGCATTTACATCAGAGCCAGCCAGCGACGTGCAGGACACCTGCGGCCTCAGGAAATGTCTCCTATATGCTGCTGTCCAGGGGAGGTCAAATGAAATTGCCTTAGCAAACAGCAATTTGGTCCTTAGGAACTTGAAAGCAGCTTGCAATCAGCACCCTATATTCAATTCTATTTTGCATCCAAATGCTGCACCAAAGTCCCAGTCTTTTTTTTTTTAATTCATTTTATCTACACACGGGAACATTTGGTAAGGCCAGGGAAAAGGCCCTGAAACCAGGTGCCAGGGAGGGTTTCAGGCAAAAAGAAGGATTTAAGATGGGTTCCTTTCCCTCTCTTCCCTCAAACATCTGTCCCCAACCCTACAAACGACATAGCAACACACCCACACTGTTGATTATTAAATGATATGTTAATATTTTTAGTTTGTATAAGCGCCTGGACACGAATTTAGAACAAAATATGAACATGGTCGGTTGAACATCTGTGGGAACATCACAGACCTTGCTTATTTCCATCTCCTCGTGGGAGATGGTCGGTGGCGTGGCACATGGACCCCTCCATCCACAGAAGAGGGGCCTAGGAACCTAGGTGGGAGTTCAATTCATTTTCCCCTTGACTCCCCTCCTCCATGCCCGAGGGCAATGTCCATGCTGCTCTCTCTTCCTCTAGAAGCTGCTCCATCCCATCCTCTCAACCCTCCAAATTCTTAAATGCATTGTGATGCCCCTTGAAGGACTTGCTTGGAAATCTTGTGTCAGTCTCGATTGTAATTTGCCTAAGACATCCCACTGAGCATTCGCTCTGCATCAGGCAGCTGGTGACGAAAGGAACCGCAGGAAAGGGACCCCGGCTCGCAAGGTCACAGCTTCTTGGCAACCAGCACCTCATCTAATCACCAAATAATGGTAGACCCCCCCCTACTTCTGAGAGCTGGTGAAGGTGAAGGAAAGGTGAACTCTGGGCTTTGTCATTTGGAAAATGGGGACAAGGATAGTGCCCCTTGCAGGATCATCGGGAGCATTACGTTCCAGAATGTGTGTAAATCACTCAGCTCACCTCCAGCACACGTTAATCATTCCGCAAGATAGCTCTTGCTTTTGCTGCCGTGCTTACATTAGCTAGAGACCATGTCCAAAGTCGTCAGTCGGCTCGCTCTGATGGCTGTGATCTGTAGTCAGTGCATCGTGGATGGTGGAGTCCTCCGAAAGCATGGCACCCTTTCCCTGAGTGTGCACCACACTCTCCCGTTTTTAGTTGTTGCTTGGCACATTTTGTGAAAACAGCGTTTGATGAGCCAGAGTACTTCACTTATTGAACTGGTGATAGTCTCATACCACAGTGGAGTTGGAATTAGCCCTTTTCTAACACGGGTTTTCACAAGACGAGACAACTGTACGTCACAACAGGGACCCCCGCCATCAGAAGTGTTCCAGCTCGTTCTGTAGTTTTTACACAGTTCTTAATTCTTGCAAGGAAATGGCACGCACAGAGAAATTATTTCCAAGTAATTGTAACAGTTGAGAGCTGGTTTCATGGACGTATGTACCAAACACAGTCCATCTCTGCTCAACACATGTTGGCACCTGCTGGCCCTGGATCACCAATTCTGACCCTACTCATTAGAACAGGGACCTACTTTTAATCCCTTGAGGAAACTCCATACTGTTTTCCATAGTGGCACCAGTGGGAATGTGCTAAGATGATCTGATTCAACCTGGTGCCAGCCCATTTTGCCCCACCCACCCCCCTCCAGTGGTCTCTGCCGGGATGGAGGAAAGATAAGAGTTCCACAGAGGACAATCTGAAAAACACCGGACCGGCTAATCCATCCCTGAGACTCTTCATTCCCCTACCAATCCACCCATCTGTCCAACAGGTGTTAATGGAGCACTTAGTATGGATGAGGCCTTTGCTGGGAAGTCTCTTTGACATTTAACATCTGAGTTAGGACTTAAAGGATGTGTAGGAATTACCCAGGTGAAGGGAAAGCAAGGTAATGTGGAGCCTTAAAGAGTGAGAGTAGGCACTACTGAGGAACTCAAAAAAAATGAGTCAGGCTGGAGCATCATGTGCAAGGTCAAGATTAACATGGCCCACTCTATGACCTAGCAAGTTCTCTCCAGGGTAAATATCCAAGAGCAACCAAAACATGGGTTAAAAAGTCTTCTACAAGAATGTTTATAGCAACTTTTCCATGATAGTCTCCAATATACTAGAAAACCATTAAAAAAATAAAACAAAAAGAGGTACTGAAATACACAGCAACACGTCTGAATCTTGCAGGCGTAGGTGTTGAGCCAAAAAAAGTCAGACACAGCAGAGGACATAATGCATGATTTCCATTTATGTGAGATTCCAGATTGGGCACAACCAATTCACGGTGCTAGAAATCCAAACATTTGTTGCCTGTGGGTGCAGAGAGCAGTGGAATGACTGGAAAGGGCCCAGAAGGACTTTCCTGGGATATGGAAATAGTCTGTATCTTGATTTGAATGATAGTAACAAGAGAGTCTACTTTTGTCAAAAGTCATCAGACTATACACTGAAGATCCATGCATTTTATGGTATATAAATTTTTAAAAATCAATGAAGTTTTAAAAATTAAGATTAAAAAAAAACGTGCAAGAGGGAGAGTGGGTAGATTGAAGATGGAGAGGTGGGTAAGGATCAGAAGACTTCTGGGGCCGGTGGCAGACTTCCGTTGTGCTAGGATAGGGAGGATGTGGAGGTCATGTGTTGGTGGTGGAGGATGGCCATGCTGCAGGAGTGCAAGAAGATAGGAAATTCAGTTAGTGCATTAGAAACCTCAGCTTCTGGATTGAATCAGCGGCTCCATGAGTTTGTAACATAGGTTTTGCTAGGATGAGTTTTTATGCTAGTTATTAAAATTTTCTAATCCACAGATTAAAATTTAACCCACAAACACATTCCCAGTCTGCTGTTTGGCAGTAGAAAAGGACAGACACCCGATTGTCATCTTTCTGGTGGCTTATTAGAAAATTTCCAAGTTGTTCAAGAGGATGTTCACAAAATTGAAATCCTCTTATTATTAGACTAGTCCATGTGGAAAATGTTCCATGGATAAATTATTTTTTAATAAGGCAATTTCCTATTTTCCCAAGTCAAAATACCCCTTAACAATTTAAAATTCTTATATTGTGGTTTCCTTATACTTGAGTCAAGCAACTCTCGCAGTCTTTCAGAAATGTGACTTCCATGGAGATGCATGCAAATTGCAGTGAGATGCACAGAACTCCCTTAGGGACATACGGGTGTAATAAACATACTAAGTGGTCCTTGGATCAAGCTGAGTTTTAGGCAGATCTACTCCAACAGACACACACACACACACACACACACACACACAGACATTCTATGGAGGAAATTATTCTGTTCAAACCTCACTCTACAGGGGAGCTGATGAAGGCCCAGGAGGAGTGGTAGATGACTTTCCCAAGGTCAGTGGGACACCAGTGCTATTAAGAAACAGAAGATGGGTTCATGGAGCTAGAAGGATGAGCAGCACAGTTCCTGGCACATTGCACACAATAAATAGTAACTCATTATTCTTCCTAATGGGCTCTTGTCTGCATTGGCCATCCCGAGGTCCATTGTGTGCACAGAAGACTGGGGAGTAGGATGTAGAGAAATCAGGAACTGACTTCAGGGGAAATTACTTCATGTAACTTTGCTCATTGGCCATATGAACACTTTAATACAACTTAATTTCCAGAAGACTCATGAGTGCTTCAGCTGTGAACTCAGGGGATGAAGTGTAGAAAGCTTTCAGGACAGATGATATTCGTGTGGTGAGGCTTCCTTCCCTCAAACCAGGCAGCTAGGGACATGACTCATGTGCTTTGTTCTTTATATGAGTTTTAAGGTGTATTACAAGTAGACTACCCTTAATTCTCAAATCGTCTCACATGCTAGTGATGAGAACTATTTATGAAACTGAATAAGAACTGTAATTCAGTTTTAAATGTGGAACCGTCTAGTTTGGAGGCAGTGGGTAAGCCTGAGGCCTACGGCTGATGGTTTCTGAACAACAGGGCCAGCTGCTTTTCGAGTTCTGATTTTCAGGGTTCAGCAGACTCGACCTCTCGAAAGGCTACTACCACTCAGGTTCTCTCCATAAGGGGTGGGTGATCTCCATGCCGTTCCTCATGGTACTTCTGAAGGCAGTCACCTCTTCACATGGACAGGATCAATTTCTGGCTACCTTCTTCCCAAGAAGACTCATTCCCAGATTCATTGCTTCCAAGGCACCAAACAGCTTTTCCTTCAGCCTCTTCTGTTTTGTTTAGGCATTTACTCAACTAGATTGTATGATCCTTCTGGGTGGAACTCCATCTTTTCTCCTTGTCCCACTCATCAAAGGTAACCACTATTTGTAGAGTGGGTATCCTTGCATACCCCTCCTGTGCCTTTCCCACCCCATCTTATCTGGGGTGGTTGAGGAACACCAGTGAACCCTAATGCTCCCTTACCTGATTCCTTTATTTCCATTATTCCAAATGAATGTGTTTGTATCAAATCAGAGCTTCCTGAACTTGCCCAATGATGGGAATTAGTGGCATGCTTATGAGAATAATGGACTCCATGACCTTCTTCAGTAGAGTGATTCAACAAACATCTGTCCTGGG